TCATCGCAACAAAAAAAATCTAAATTATGGATAGGCTAAAGCATTCTTTGAATTTTGGGATTCAGTACAATATTGAAAATTAAAAATATTAATATATATACTTGTTAGAAATTGTAATTGCATGGACTCGCCACGTTATCATTTTCTGCAAAGTAGGGTTTGAAATTTTTGTATTATTTTCATGAATAAATTATTTTTTTATTAATTAAAGTTTATTATTATTAATTGAACTATTAATTATTATTATGGTTGAACTCAACCCCCTTGTTTCTTTTATTTTTTGACAACCCTACTTTTTCTTATTTATAGAAATTTTTTTATTTACTTGTATATAATAATACAATGGAATATATAAGTACTTAAATCACACCACTCACTTATAACAGTTAGCTATGTTGACATGTTGTGGCCCAAAGACTTGAGCAAACTATTGCACAGCTCCAGATAGATAGTCAAGAGCAACTTCAATATTACCAGACTGCAACTGAACCTGAGCCAACTCATACAAACCAGAGGCTTCAAGAGGCTGGGGGGATTGAGGGAAAGAAAATTTAAGATAAAAAGAAAATTAGAAATACAATAAAAATGTTGAAGATTGAAGTACACATACATGTAAAAGACATAATATACCATCGATCTGAAAATTTTTCACTGTGATTGTAATTTCACTGGATTAGAGTTCCAAAAAAAATTAGATCACCTACATAATTATATGCCACATTCAATAATACATGACACAGTCTTATTTGGTAAAATTAAATAACAGCATTATTTAAAAACACAAAAGTTTCTACCACATAAATTCCCTAAACTACGGTATACATTGTGTAGCAAAAGTGACAGTACAAAGCAGTAATAAATGTGACCATAATTGACAAAAGGTACCTTATGGCGGGTAGTGAAATTTGTCTTTATAGCTAAAAAAATCATCTTCCTGAGCTCCATTTATCATAAAATTACTCCACAGGATGCAAAAAGTTGCTATCTAACTTTTAGAAACAATATTAGTTTAACAGAGCACTCAGAGGTTGATATTTTTCATTATAATGATGAATTTTCAAATCCACCATAAGGTACCTTTTGTCAATTATGGTCACAAATGAAGTTTTGTCTCACTTTAAAATCAGTGTGCTTAACAACAGGTACAATACAGGCAAGATCACCTTCATTCAATGGAGCAGTCAAGGAAAATTTGTAATCCTTCAATGTAATCTGTACTCCTGATAAGGGGTGCGGTCAATGAATATTAGTGAGGTATGATGCCATCTAACCTGTTTTGTTACAGAATTCCCTGAGAAGAGAGACTCTGCTAACACCACAAGTAGTACACATGTGAGTTGCAGAATTACTAGAAAAAGAGATAGATATTTAAGTACATATACATCATTAAATATTGTTTATTCCGTTATTATTAGCTTACTATTCCAATGTGTACAGGAAATGCTGAAGTACATCTTCCACTAACAGTTTCCATAACTTTCCTGGAGACAAGTCTAACAAAATATATCATTAATGTACTGTACATGTACAAGTTGCATATTATCAATTGCAGCTATTGTACAAAGTAAAAGGTAAAGTAAACATACACTGCATATGGCCTTTGAAATGCACTGCAATGGCTCCATACATTAATAGTAACATAATACAGTCATTACATGTTCATATACATGTAAAGTAAATGCACATTATGCTCTGTATGTCACACATGCTGTAAAAGATATAGCACAATACCTTTTCCAGCAGATGTAGTTTTAGTGACTGGACCACTAGCACCACCACCACCACTTCCTCCTCCCTTCTTCTTCTTGGACTTCTTTTTTGTAGCAGCAACCTCAGAGGGAGAGAGAGAGAGAGAGAGAGAGGACCAATGATACAACAGGAGAGTAGGAGACAATAGTACTGTACAGTACTTACTTCATCAGAAACAATCTCTTCAGTATCAGTCTAAAAAATAAAAAAGAGCAAAGTCAAATAATGACAAAATTAAAGTTACATGTACATTATGTACAAATGTATTGTTAGTGTACTATTATCACTGCATATCTTACTAGTA